CCCCCCACCCCCCGCCCACCCCCAGTGGTATGTGGACGTCGCTCTGGCGCTGCTGGAGCGCGCGGGGGACTTTTGTGGGGAGGACATCTGGCACCGCGTGGTGCAGCTCGTCACTAACAACGCAAACATGCAGGCCTACGCGGCGGGCCAGGCGCGCGCGCCGCAGCGCGCCCGCGAGCTGCGCATGGGCGCCCCGTTGGGCGCGCCGGGGTGCAGGCGCGCGTGCGCGCGGCCGATGCGACGGCTGGGCCCCTGCCCTTCTCGCCTGGTTGTGTGGAGCCCATGTATGGTGCACTAGTGATCCCGGCTATTGCACTCCTGATTCGTGTACCAACGGGCGCCGCGCGATCGCACCGCCTGCGACCCGCCCCCGCAGGTTGTGGACGTGCTGCGGCGCGGCACCAGCCACGAGAGCCTGCTGTGCACCGCCTCCTGCATCCTGGGGGAGTATGGCCGCCTGGTGGAGGTGGGTTTGTGGGCGTGTGAATGTGTGCTTTGTTGAATGTGTGTGCCTGTGCGTGTGTGTCTGCTGCGTGAGGAGGGCTTTGTATGTGTGTGTGTGTGTGTGTGTGTGTGTTGTGCAGTGTGTGTGTGTGTTTTTGTGCGTGTGTGTTTATTGCGTGAGGGTGTGTGTGTGTGTGTGTGTGGTGTGTGCAATGTGTGTGTCAGAGCAGGTGGGTGGGTACTGGTGTTAAGGGTTGTGGTCATGTGTGCAATGATGTGCGCATGATCCTGCCCAGCAAAGCCCACACCCTGCATGCTTGCGCATGCAATACATCGCTCCCCAGCCTCGATCCTCAAGCAAGCGCGCCCCCCTGCACCCCACCCCACCCTCCGTTCCCGCCGCCCCTCTCGCCTCTCTCAAGCCCCGTGCTGCCACGCCCTCACCCCACCTCACGCCCCCACCCCCCTTTGCAGGACGCCGCCACGCCCTTTGAGATGTTCCGCCTGCTCTCCCAGCACCTCGTCGCCGCCTCGCCCCCCACGCGCGGCCTGCTGCTGTCCGCCTCCCTCAAGCTGCTGCTCCAGGCGCCGGGGGACCCCGAGCTCCAGAAAGAGGTGGCGGCAGTGCTGGAGCGCCACGCGCGCTCCGCAGACGCGGAGCTGCAGCAGCGCGCGGTGGAGTACCTGGTGCGCGGCCGCCGCGCGGCTGCTGTGCGAATCGCTGCGGGATCGGCTGGGCGGAGGCGTCGCTTCCCGGTTGTGTCGAGGGGCGGCTGCAGGTTTTGCGTGCGTGTGTGGGGATAGTTTCTCCAGCCCACCCTCAGCGTCGTTTGATAGATTTCGTTTGATAGATTTCAAGTGGGTGCGCCCCTAGAGCCCGCTGGGGGCGCTCTCAAGGGGTGGTTGCGTCCGTCAGCCTTCCACTGCTCGGCACGGCTGGCGTCTGGCATGGGGCGGAGGCGCGCCCGTGAGCCCGCGTCGATCAGCACCCGTCTCATATCTGCTCCCCCAGGCCCTGGCCAAGAACCCCGAGTCAGCTGCAGCTTCCTACGTGCTGCCCATGCCTAAATGGGAGGGCCGCGAGTCCACGCTGCTGCGGCGGCTGCAGGTGGGGTTGTGCTGGCAGGGGAGCAGGGGCGCGTGTACATGCATGCATGGGTGCATGCGTGTGTGCGCTCGTTTGTATTGGTGTGTGTCGCCTCATCTGGTGGTGCCATCTTCGAGCCAACAGAGCGGATAAGCAGGGCGGGCGGCCAGCAGCGACTTCTGCAGTGCGCTTTGTGTGTGGTATCTGAGCACAGCCAAGGGCAGTGCCGCAGGACGTGTTCTGTATTGATTCCCCAGGGGATGCTGGCGTTTACGCTGGCGTTTACACAGACAAACGGCACAAGCCTGCGAAACCCGCACCCCGCTCCCCCCTCCCCGGCCCCTGCTGCACAGGCGACGGAGGGCGCGGACAGCGACGCCGCCAGCATCTCATCCGCCCTCGCCGCCGCGGCCGGCGAGGACGGCGGCGCCGCCAGCGGCGGTGCAGCTGCGCTCGCGTCTGCGGGCTCCTCCTCGCGCCTCGCCATCGCTGCGGCGCTCAGCGGCGCCGGCGGCGCCTCCGCAGGCTCGAGCCCCTCAAAGGCCGCTGCTGCTGCTGCAGGGAGCGTGGGCACGGGGTCGCCCGCTCCTGGGAGCCCGCTCAAGGGCGAGGGCGCGCGGGCTGCGGCGGGCGAGGTGGCGCAGGAGCAGGCCGCGCAGGAGAAGGCGGCGCCGGCGCCGGCGCCGCCACCGGTGGTGGATCTGCTGGGGGACGACCTCGGCGCACTATTTGGCAACGGTGAGCGCAGCGGTCAAGATTGCGGGTTGAAGACGGCAAAATCGCACACTTTCAAAGGTGTGGTTGTGGCTCCATCATTCTACCGCCGACGCAAAATCCAGAAACCCTCTCCATTCCCCCTTTGCGGCTGCCCGCCTTACGCCATCCATTCAAAGGCACCCCTGTGGCCGCGGCATCATCAGCGGACCCGCTTGCGCACGTCGCCGCGCCTGCCACCTCCGCGGCCCCCGCAGCCGCGCCGGGCAAGGCGGCGCCGGTCGACCCCCTGGACGAGCTGTTTGGCACTGCGCCCGCCGACGCCGCATCAGCAGCCGTGACAGCGTATTCGGCTTTCGCCCCCGCCGCTTCCGCCTCCATCGCACCCGCGCCGCCCAGCCCCGCCGCGGCGAGCGCGCCCGCGCCAGGGTTTAGCGGCGCCCCGCAGCCCGCGGCGCAGGTGCCTGTGACACAGCAGCAGCCGCAGCAGCACCACCAGCAGCAGCAGCAGCAGCAGCAGCCCGCCTCGCCACATTTGCACCAGCAGCAGCAGCAGCAGCAGCAGCAGCAGCAGCAGCAGCAGCAGCAGCAGCAGCAGCAGCAGCCCTCATCGCCCCCAGTTCACCAGCAGCAGCAGCAGCAGCAGCAGCAGCAGCAGCAGCAGCCTCCGCCGTACGCCCACGCGCACACCCCAGACCCCTTTGCGCCACCGGCAGCCGCCCCTCCCCCCCTGGCCTACGGCGGCCCCCCGCACGGCCCCTACGCCGGCGCCACCGGCGCCATGGCCCCCTATGCCGGCTTCACGGGCGGCATGGGGCCTTACGCAGGCTTCACCGGCGGCGTCGGGCCCTTTGCGGGGCCCACCGGCGGCTATGGCGCGCCGGTCAGCGCCTATGGCGCACCTGTCAGCGCCTACAGCGGCGCGGCCCCGCCGCCGTACGGGCTGCAGGCGCAGGGGCCGTTTGGCGGTGGCGGCGGGCACGAGGGTCCGGTGGTGGCTGGGGACGTTGCGCAGTGGTACAACGGGCTTCTGCTGCGGGACCAGGTGGGGGGGGCGCGTTGGTCAGGGGCCGGTCACCAGTCTGGGTCCCTTTCAGGACGCCCGCGGAACGCGCGAGATTGCCTGTGCTGCAGAACGCCTGCATGCGAAGCAGCCCTGGCTTGTGCTCTGCAACACGCAGCCTCCTCAGCTCCCAGAGCCTTTGCAAACGTGCATCGGCCAACAACGCGACTGTTGAATCCTACCAGTGGAACCTCGGACAATCCCCATGGCGGCCCGATGCCCCCATCATCGTACCGCAGGGCGTGCTGTACGAGGACTCCTTCCTGCAGCTCGGCCTGCAGTGCCGCTACTCGGGGCCGCGCGCCGACGCGACCCTGTTCCTGGGGAACAAGCACCCTGCCGCGCCGCTGCAGCCGCTGGGGCTCGCGCTGGCACCGCCGGCGTCGGGCGCGCTGCAGCTCACCATGGGCCAGGTGGGGCAGCCCCGCGCACCACACCCCACCGCGGCGCCGACCGCGCGCGCGTGCTTGATTCCGCTCCCCAAATTGATTCGACTTCTTGCCGCCATTGATTTCCAGCGCAACAGCCAGGCATATGTCAGCTGGACTCCGCTCATCACTTTGGTGCCTACCGGGGCCACTTGCCAGCCGCTCGCTCTTGCCCATCCTGCATACCTGCGCTTAAACTCGGCTTCGACTGCCATGACGCCCGCAGGCGCCGCCGCTGCTGGCGCCGAAGCAGCAGGTGCAGGTGTCGCTGTCTGCGCTGTGCGTCGCGGCCAGCGGGGAGCCGCCGCTGCTGCACCTGTCATACTGCGTCCCCGGCGGCCTGCCCGGCCAGGCGCTGCAGGTGGGGGGCCGCGGCTTGCGGCCGGGCGGACGGCCGCCCGCCGCTGCCCTGGGCGTGCAATCCGCCTGCCGCCCCTGGGTTTGGCGTTCAGGGACACCTGCCGTGTTGTCCCATGCGCCCACTGCCGTCCTCCTCTCCCGGCTCTGCTTTGCTCGCCCCAGCGCCAGTCCTACCCCACCGTCACCCTGATTCGCTTGTAGTCTAATCCATATCACGACTCTCACACCAACCCTGACAATTGCCCCGGCCTGACGCTGAAACCCCCCCACCC